AGCTGCCTCCACCCCCGCCCCTCCAGCAGTGGGGGCCCTTTAGGGATGGGCTTTCCGCCTGATTAATTCAAATTCTCTTCCCTCTTCTCTCCCTCCAGGCGGAGGATCTGGAGTCTCGTAGGCGGAGCGCTCGCGGCTGGTGCTGCGGCGACCGGGTGTGGGAGGGGTTGGAGAGGGGTGGCCCGTGGGGACCGATCTGAGACGCCCCGCCGCTGTGGCGGGGACGGGGGACCTGCCAGGCGAGGGAAGCGTGGGGCCTGGAGTTCCCGCCTTCTTTCTGCCCCCTCCCCAAATAGCGATGCCAGGAGGGAATCGAGCCATCGGTCCCAGCAGACCCGCCTAGCGCTGGGCCAGCGGCGCGGGGCCAGTGGGTTGGCGGCGGGGCGGGAGCCGGGGCCGAGGGACCGCCAGGGGCTGGGTCTTCGCCCTTCCCGGGGCTGAGTCTCCTTTCTTGGCCCAGAGCGCCTCTAGTTGTATTTTTCCTTCTCTTTCCCCCTCTTCCCAATAGTCTCTGCCCCACTGTCCTCTTTTATTTTTTCTCTTTCCCCAAGTGGGGCATCCTTCCTGGGTAGAGAACAATTAAAAAATATATATATATATATATATATTTCCATAGTTCACACCAGGGCTGCTGAGTGACCTTGGGGAAAATCTTGGAACATTCTGAGTCTATGTTTAAAAAAAAGAAGGGGGGGGGGGGGTATTCTCTAGGTCTGTTTTCCTGAAGATGCCGCCAAAATTCGGCCCCAGAGGACTGAGACAAGGAATGAAGGTGCTGCCTCGCCCTCCCCACCTTGCCCATCACGGGACAGAGCAGTGTGCATATGCCCCAAGTCATCTGGACAAGAAGGGCTTTTGGTCTGAGTTTTACACTAAAATGAGGGAGGGGACTAATTTAATTCTCATTTTGAAAAATAAGATGAGAATGCTTTCTTACTCCTTGACTATTTGGTAGCACTCCGAATTTTGTTCTGCGCACCAGCCCTCCGTGGCCGGTGTGCCCCAGGGAGCAGAGAATGGCTTGCGCATTCCTACGAGGGCACAGGGAGGGGCCCGTGATGGTGAAGAGGGACGTTGCTCTGGGTGTAATTGTGCCAACTGTTGGAGGGAGGCAACAGGAGGGTGGTCTTTTCTGTGGGTTTGGGATCTGGTTGCCTGTCATTCTCCCGAGGCCACCTCTTGAGTCTATCAACGGAGGGCTCGGGTTTCCCCACTTGCTTGATAGTGGGAGCAAAGGGGCCAACAGCAAAGCAGACAGCTCAGCCAGAAAGAAGTACACCGGGCCTCTGGTGCTGGGGGTGCAGGCTCATGGTGGGTGGCCCCGCAGGCCTAGGGCGTGGTCGAAGGTCTCAGGATGAGGAGGAGAGTTTTCAACCTTCCTCTGACCAGCCCCTTCGGCTCCATCCTTTCACGAGGCAGGAGGCTAGCATAAGTCCTGCGACCTCTTAGGAAAACACGCTTTTCACATCTAAAATGGAATGGCTCAAAACCAAGCCAATCGCTGCAGGTGTTTGAACAGAGTTGTTTCCCTGCCCAGAAGCCATAAAAACAAAACCAAAAATCTCACGTGCCTTTAGCTCTTACCAGTTTATAAAACATTTCCCACTGATTCTGCAAGCCCAAACTGCAAGCAGGCTCCTCATTCTCGTTGTAGAGGCAAGGAAATGAAGAGAAAGAAACCACGCATTGTGTCCAAGGTCACAGTCAGGAAATGCCCAATCCCCGGTCCGGACCCTCTGTGCAAGGCCTCTCTGATTCCACTGCTTCCTGTCATTCCCTCCCATGAAACAGACACACATAGACCCATGAAACAGCCTGGAAACTCCGAGAATGCCCTTCCAACCTCCTCACCCCCAGGGAGGAGGCATCCAGTCACTAGTTTGCCACCATCACAGATACAGGTGGGGATGGTCGGATGGATACCTGGCTCTGGATCTAGCTTTTTTTTTTTCTTCTCCAGATCACATTCTCCTCAGGACAGTTCTTAAAGGAACCCACGTTAAAATGACCCCAACCCCACCCCCAAACACCCACACACATCAACTGTTCATGTTCCCCTTGCTGCCAAGACTCTTCCTAGAAACCACGTAAAATAAATAGCCTCAAATATAACTCCTAATTGCTTCCAAGTCAATGTTTCCTCATCACTAAATTTTATTGCTTCCCAATCTTTAGGACTGAACCCCCTTCGGGACTCAGTCCCTTCTAGGAGGCAGGCCAAGGAACACAGCTTCTTTGATATTTGACCTGGGTGGCCCAGGCCAGGAAGATGAGCGAGGGTGTCAGCGCGCTCTGAGTCTGAGAGGCCTCCGAGGGCTGAGGCTGGACCCTCGGAGACAAATGAGGAAGTTTTCCGTCCGCTCGTCTCCCCCTACAGGCCACGTGCACCATTGCAGCGAGAGCCCTGCATAGCCCATGCATGCATTTTGCTTGTTCCCGTTTTCTTGGACCTCTGGATCCACTCTGCATTCCCCAAGGGACTGCGTGCAGAGGGGAAGGGGGGGCACTCAGGGACCCCGCCTTGAGATGCTCAAAGGATCTTAGACCTCGGAACTGGATCGACTTTCTAGAAATAAGTGTCGAAGGGAGTGCAGACCAGTGTGTAGCCGAAAGCTAAAATCCTCCCCATAAAAATCAACCCGTTTCCCTTTTGTTACAAACAAACCTCACTAAGTGGAATAAAAAGCGGTGTCAGTAGTGTTGCCTTTAAAATCTCAATTTTAGAGGGGATTTTAGTGTCTTTCGTCGCTGGAGCGCAGGTTGGGTCACATCAAATATGAGTTTCAAGCCCTCCCCCACCCAATGCCAGCGTTCATTTTATATATACATATACATATACATATACATATACATATACATATATATATATATATATATATATATATATATATATATATATATATATATATATATATTTGCATTTTCCCTTCCGTTCTAAACCTTTGTGGTCTAACAAGCTTAAACCACAGGGGTCTCCCAGACATCTGCCAGGACTTTAAACAGCCACCGCCGCCGGTTTGAGGTTTGGATCCGAGTCTCCTGCCCTCCAAGAAATAAAGGAAGAGGACCATCTTTAAGCTAGTTCAAGGTTAGGAGACTCTCTCCTTTACACCCCACCGCCAAGGCATCGCTGGAAAAAAGCCTTTCGGATCTTAAGCGGCGGCTGGTGACTGAGTGTCAAGCTGCGGGCGCAGGCTCGGCCGGTATTGCTGCTATGCGCGGAAATATGAGCGAGTAATTTTATAAGTAACAAAGGATCAGGGATGGAATGAGGCCCCTGTTATCCAATGTCATTTAGAAGCCTTGGATCAGCAGCTTCTTGAGGCTAAAAGTGAATGCAAGAAGCCCTGCCTTTCCCTTTTCCCAGGAGTGCCGGCTATATTTAGAAATAACCTCTACGTGTTTGCACAAATCATGTACCATTTGCTGTTTGTGTAAAAACCGATTAGCCAGACACAACTGTGAAACAACTTGTTACTTTTATAGCTGCGACACGCAAACAGATTTAGATCCGTTTAGTTTTCCTTGTAAAAGGAGATTAGAAGGGACCCGCCCCGAGCCCGTGTGGTCCGCACTCTCTTCTCCTTGAAGGCTACCGTGGCTCCGCGGCGGTTATCGGGTTCTAGTTGGTCAAGTTCAACTATTTCACTCCCGGCAGGCCGTTTTATTTTAGGACCCTGATCCGAAAGGAATGTTTACTGAGACACAATAATGTTTACCATTGACGAGGAAAACAGAGTCGGTATTGGTGAGGGTCTTTCAAAGCGACTCGGTCCACGCCATCTGCAGAGAAACGAGGCTCGGATCTGACGGCCCCGAGGCATCTCCGCGACCCGGAGGCAAGGTGGGCGCCAGCGGCCCCGGGATCGTGGCCGTGTTTTGCCAAGAGGAGGAACCTAGGGCTGAGCTGACAAGACTGCTACCCGCTCCAGCCTTGAAAAGAGATTTCGCATAAGTAATTGTAACACCTAAATTAATTACGAAATAATTAGAATTGATGCCGTTCGAGGATAAGGTGGGGGTGGTGGGAACCGGCCTCCCGGGAGTCTAGATGTTTCATTTGTACCTTAATACTTTTAAGGTTGCCACGGCAGAAATGCACATTAAAATAATCTGGGGGGGGGGGGGGGAATCTAGAAGGACATCTTCACATTCCTGCCCTATGATCTCGAATTTCACACTAAGTATACATTTTTTTTAAGAAAAAAAAAAAGGGGGGAGGGGGTGATGTGCACCTGTTTTAAAAAGGATATTAAGGCCACACTGTTCGCTGGCCTTCAGAAACACTGCGGGTTGGAGGGAGAGGAGGTACCCGAATTGACAGTTCAGAAATTAAAATTATGTTGTGGATTGCCATAGAAAAGAGGTATCTTATTTGAAAACATTGTTTAAGAATAAAACTATGTATTATCTATCAGGTTAATATAATACAATTCCACTGCAAAATTTAAAATGCAATAACATCCACTTAAACAATCAACTGGGTCTATTTACCACTTCCACTTGAGCAATGGGAATAAGTAATTTCAAAAACTAAAGATTTAAATGTTAAACTGAGAGCTATGTCTGGAATTTATATTCGTTTGAAAGGGTAACATTAATGACCAAGATCTGCATTTAAGAAATTTTCATTGTGCAAAATATGTTGGTATTTTTTTTAATTAAAAGATTTAATTGTTGAGACTAAGGTTTGTGGTTTGTTTTTCTTTTCTTTTCTTTTCTTTTTTAAGTAGCAGGTTATTTTATCTACTGACATTTCTGATCATTTAGATGTAATGGATTGCTCTGAACAAAATCATGCCCCACATCTGGGTTTTATGTAAAAACTAAAAGAAAAATATTACTAAGATTTAAATTAGCACATTCTTTCCCTTCTCCAATTAAACTTCTCTTGCAACCAATTATGAATTAGCCAACTTCTGGAATTTCTGGTAAGAATGAAATAAAAAATATTTTTAAATCTCATCATTTACCTCAGATACCTAAATGAAACACTAGGCTGAGCGTTTTAAAAATTTATTTACAAAGTTGTGTACAACACGACGGAATAACATTTAGAATACCATATATATTCATTCATATATAAACAGACTTTTATAATAGAATGACACTTCTTGCCTTTTGAAAATTCTTTTACATTTAAAATCTCCCAACGTCTCTATACATTTCTTTTTCACATAAAACTGTGGAGAGTGAACCTTCAAAAAAAATGAAAGTTCAGAGCTCTAAATCTACTGAATTTTTTTTCTTAAAAAAATAAAAACCCCAAAAGGAAAAGTCAATAATTTTTATACAAATATGTACAAAGAATGTCCCTCCCTTCCCCACGGTACTGAGAGCAGATGCCCGTCAGGGTGCAGTTTTGGAAAATTAAGTTTTCGGTTTTACCTGGATGGAAAGCTATTCCCGGCGGGCGCGCGCAGAGTTTGGTCCGCCAGCCTAGGTGTGCATAAGAGGGCGGAGGCTGCCAGCGGAGGTCGGTGCTGAGGGGTCGGGGCAGGAAATGGAGGAATAAAAGGCAGAGTCTGGGATTGGGCAGGGGGGGCCGGGACCGGGGCGGGGCGCCCAGCCTGGAAGTGCAGCCGCGGCCCACGGCCCAACCGCGGGGCCCCGCGTCCCGGCGACCTCGCGTCCCTATTGCGCCGGCCACTTGGCTTGGGCGGCGGCGGCGGCAGCGGCGGCGGCCGAGGCTGCGGGCTGCAGGAACTGTCCGGAGAGCGGCACGCTCAGGATGGGCGCGATGGTGGCCGTCGTCCGGCTCAGCGACAGGGGCTGGTGCGTGGCCATGAGCGCCGCAGATTGCACCGTCCCGGGCGGCCGCAGGAAGGACTGCGCCGCGCCCCCGCCGCCGCCGCCTCCGGTGCCCCCCGTCACCCCGGCACCCCCGGCGCCCGTCGCCGAGCCCCCGGGGGGCGCCGCGGGGCCTCCGCCGATGATGTTCTCGATGCTGAACGACGGCCGCGCGCTCGGCTCGGACTTGATGAGCGACGCGGTGGTGCCCGCGGAGCCCGCCGTGCCCGCGGCGGCGGCGGCGGCCGCGCCCAGGCTGTTGAGCTGCAGCTGCAGGCTGGGGCCGAGCTGCGAGCCGAAGGCGGCGGCTTTGCGGCCCAGTTCTCCCGAGGGCAGCAGCGGCACGGCGGGCGGCAGCACGGGGGCCACGGGCGGCAGCGCGTACGGGTACTGCAGCGCCGCGGCTGCGGCTGCGGCCGCCGCGGCCGCCGGGTGCGAGTAGGCGCCCGCCGCGGCGGCCGGGTGCAGGCCGTAGGGGCGGCCGTAGGGCCCCGCGGCGCCCGCCGCCGCCGCCAGGCTGTAGGCGCCGAAGCTCTGCATCATGAGCGCCGTCTGCTCGCGCAGGTGCTCCTGCTGGTGGCGCTTGAAGCGCTTGCGGCGCCGCAGGAAGCTGCCGTTGTCGAACATGTCCTCGGACTGCGGGTCCAGCGTCCAGTAGTTGCCCTTGCCCGGGTTGCCCGGCTCGCGGGGGATCTTGACGAAGCAGTCGTTGAGCGAGAGGTTGTGGCGGATGCTGTTCTGCCAGGCGGGGAACTTCTCCCGGTAGTAGGGGAAGCGGTTGCTGATGAACTCGCAGATGCCGCTCAGGGTGAGCTTCTTCTGCGGGCTCTGCAGGATGGCCATGGTGATGAGCGCGATGTACGAGTAGGGCGGCTTCACCAGGCTGTTCTTGGGCTTGCTCGGGGCCAAGCCGCCCGCCGAGCCGCTGCCGGAGCCGGAGCCGGGCCCGCCGCCCTCCTCGCCGCCGCCGAGGCCGCCCTTGCAGCCGTCCGCCTCGGACGCGCCCGCCTCGCCCCCGGCCCCGGCGCCGGCCGCCTCCTTGGGCAGTGCCAGGGGCTGCGGGTGCGGCGGCTGGGGCTGCCCGGGGTGCGGCGCCGCCGGCGTCACCTCGTCCGCCTCGTCCAGGCGCAGCTCCGGCGGCGGCCCCGCGGGGCTGTCGCAGCCGGCGTCGCTGTCCTTCTCCTCCAGCCCGTCGTCGCCCTCGCCCACCACATCGATGTCCACGTCCTCGGCCGTCAGCACCGTCTGGCCGGACATGTCGCTGGCGCTGCCGCCGCCGGAGAGGGTCATCCCTCCTCGGGGGTTGGTGGCGGCTGCGGGAAAGAAGCGGCGGGCGATGGGGGAACAGCAGTCAGGAACTGCTGCGGAGCTCAAGGGGAAGGGATGTGGGCGCCCCCTGAAAGATGGGGGGTCCTGGCAGAGAGAGAGAGAGAAGGGGGGCCCTCCCGGCTCGGCTCACACTCGGCGGCCCGGCATGGCGCGGCCGAGGCGCTGCCGTCCGGCCCCCGGTGGCCGCGCTCTGCAAACTCCTGCTGGCCCCGGCACTGGGCGCCCCGGCCCCGGTCCCTGCGGCTTTCCCGCGCCGCGCCCCCCTCACTCCGCCAGCCTTCTCCGGCCTCGGGGCCGGGGCTGGGGTGCAGGAGCGGTGCCGGCGGGCGCGGGACGTCGGGGCGCCGAGCGGCTCGGGAGGGCGCAGGCAGGGGCAACGAGGGGAGGGAGGGGGGTTGTGCCAGGGACACCGAAGCCCCCGTAGTCGAAAGTCCCGTTTTAAGGACTGGCCTGATAGATTACTTTCTACTTAAAGATCCAGCGGGAGGCGGGGCCACGTGACCGCGCGTGACGTCAGGGCCGCGGCCGAGCCGGCCAAACTCAAGTTGGTCCGGGGGATTGTCAACAAAGGGACGAGGGACGCGCGACTCCCGCCGCGCGGCGCGCCGGCATCCCGCGGGCACCGAGGAGGGCGCCCGGGCCTGCCCCCCTCCGAGACCTCGGCCCAGGCGGCAGCCCGACGCGCGGGTCCAGGGAGTCTGCGGGTGTGAGTGAGGAAGAGAGGATGTGAGCGAGGGAGGGCGTGGGCCTGGGAGTGTCGGGAGGGGTTGGGGGGGGGGGTAATCTGGTGGCTCTTTCTGTCCCTGCCCTCCTCGCCCCCTCTCCCCTACCCATCCCCCTTCCCCCCCTTATACCAGCAGCACTCCTTGGCAGGGACTGTGAACCTTAGAACAAGATTCCCGTCCCTCCCTTTGAAAAGAAAAAACTTAGTAGGCTGTTTTGTTTTTATTCTTTTTAGCTTTAACGAGTCAGGGCTGCACACTCGGCTCCGTTTTGCAAATGGGACTTCAGACCCCTCCTCCTGTCTCAGGGCTTATTCAGTGGGAACATCTACGGAGGGGAAGCACTCTTTCCCCAAACCCTGACCCACCGGCTTGGCTTTCCCGTCTCGTTGTTGGCATGTTTATGTATTTATGTATGTGTGTATGTATTTTTTTCCCCGCGTCCACAGCATCAGCTGGGGTTCCCGAAGGTCAGAAAATGGCTATTGATTAATCTATTAGAATAGTTGCTGAGCGAAATAAAAACGACGTGAAATAACAGGGTACCTATAAATAAAGAAGCCATAACTAGCTGCTCCGAGTTGTTAAACAACTTAGCAAGAATGGGGTGGGGATTGGAAATGAAGTGCTGGGGAAGGAGCCGGGATTGGCAGAGGCCTGGGTAAGTTGAGTGGGACTGCGAAGAGACTTTGGGCCTTTAGAGTCGAAGTGATGTGGCGTCGGGGCTGGGACGGCCCAGGAGCCGGTGGTGTGACTTCCCCGGGGGCTGGGCTGGGCCGGGCCTCCTGGGAGCCGGCGGTGGGGGGGGGGGGGGGCGCCTGGGGCTTGACGGCGGGCGAGGCTCTCAGTTGCTGCTCACTAAGGCGGATTCTTTTCTCTTAAGACTTAGAGAAACCTTTCAAGACTTAACTTCCTCGGAAAGCAGCGGCAGGACAGGTAGAGGATGCGGACGGTGCTCACCGAATTTCCCTGGCAAGGGAAGCCCGTGATGGTAGGAAAACTGGGGAGTTCCTTGGGGGCGCGCGGGCCTTGCGCTTCCGAATAGCGCTTCTTTCTGACCGGTGACCCCGCGGCGCGCCGTCTCCTCCCTCCTGCATGTCTAGGCCGTCTCCTGGCTGGCCGGGTGTGGCGGGCTCCTGGAAACCAACCCTGTCTGCCCGCTAAGGCCTGAGAGGAGAATGCCGGCCTCGCCAGAGGAAAGAGCAAAAGGGGAGGAGGTTGGAGGACACGTAGTTAGTGAAATATTTACAGGAGACGCTAGGAAACAGATTTAAATTCCTGATGGAGAGCGATGTTCTGATTCATCTCTCTCTCTCACCAAAGACCCCCTCCCTCTCTTTCCTTGGCCTAGACACCCACCCGACCCCAATGGGTAAACTTACTTCATCACAGGCACTTTCACACAGATCGACTCTCCTCTCCATTAAATCATCTCCTGGGTTTGTTAACACTAACCCATTGGCTCCCCACTTCGCAGGACTTTCCAGGTTGGGGCAAGGGGGTGGAGGGGGGGGCAGGAAGAGTGGGGGCAGTGGCTCCATCCAGGTTTTTCTGTACCTAAAGGATCCCCCCGGTTGCACCTGACTCTAACATGCATCTCTTGCGTTGATTTCCCAGCTGCACAGCTTCGTGGCCCGCAGGCTTTCGAACCGTTTACGCTGCCATCTGAACAGCCTCCCCGGAAGCCCACCGCATTGGGAGCTAGCTGCTCACTGCCCCAGATGGAAAGGTCCTGGCTGTCCCAGTAACCAAACACCACAACAGGAAGCTCGGAAGGACAAAAAAGGAAACCGAAATTTACAAATTCAGAAATTCCTTCTCCTCTGGGCGTCGGTATTCAGGCCCACTGGTTGGTTCGGGCGCGCAGCGCAAGCCACCATCTGCCCGCCGAGGAGGCTGGGCCGCGTGGACCCGGGCACGTGTGTGTGCGCGCCCGGGAGGGTGGCAGTCTTCTGGAAGTTGCGGCTCCTAATTTGGATTCCGCTGTCCCGCCCGGGCTGGCTCTCAGGATTCCCTGGGCGATGCCAGTCGCTGCCTCTCACCTCCCGGGCCAAGACCTAGCCTGAACCGTCCACTCCCCGGAGCCTCTTTGTAACATCCCTGGGGGGGGAGGTGGGGGATGAACAACTCCCAGCCGCCGGTTCCATTTGTTGAGCTTTTCTCCTTCGACACAATAAAAGTCAAATTAATTGATTCATACCATTAATTACGGCGCGTAGCGTGAAAAGCAACGCTTCCCCTCGGTTAGAGATCTATTGTGCTAATCTCTTGTTCAATCAGTGTTACCATCTGATGCTGGCTCTGGCCCTTACAGAAACTTTCCGACTCGATTAGCTAAATGATGATGAGACGTGCAGGACCTACGGGCTGCAGCCCCTGCGTCTGGCGCCTGCACCGGCCCAGCCGCTTCATATCGATTTCTTTCCCGCTGCCACTCTCGGCTGGGAAACCGGCGGTGGCTTCCCTCCTTCTGGGAGGACAGCAGCGCCAGCCCGCAGCCACCGGGGAGGGAAGGAGCGGCTCAGGTGGGAAGAAGGAGGTTCCCGCCGCCACAGGACTCCGCCTGGGCGGGAGGGAGCCTGACAGGGACCCGGGTCCTGCCCCAGGCCGTCCAGATTGCAGGCTAAGTAAATCCTGTTGGCTAAATAATTGCATTTTGCAGCTTAAATGCCCACAAGTCGTCAGTGGCCGCCAAACTTAGGGTAAAGTGAGGTGAGAGAAGCGAGATAGGTACAGAGGGAAAGTGACATACTATCGGGAGAAGAAAAATGTGATAGAGGGAAGGGAGATATTGGGGAGGGGGTGAAATGTCGATAAGTATTTTCTGAGTTGGGGAGAGTTCCTGGGGGAGATACAAGGAGGAGTGCACACACACACATGCGAGGAGAGTGACTACTTGGGCCACAAGCTAACTTCCCAGGAGGGATTGCAAGAAGATGGAAGCGAGCTGTCTCACCTGTTCCAATGTTTGAAACGGTCCAGCCCGTCCAGCCGAAGGAGGATGGAAAAATGAGGTTTCTCTTGGGGCGGGCAGAGTCCGTGGCATCCAGCTGGATGGTGGCCACCCATGTTCGGGGCCCCGGCAGGGACGGGTTTGGCAATGGCGGTGGAGGGGGCCAGGGTTCTAGCAACAGGAAACACGAATCGTGCAGTCCGGATCGATTGGAAGGAAATTGAGACACCTCGGGGGAGGGGAGATTTTGTGTGCGTTCTCCGGGATGAAATGGAGAGGGGGGAAGCGGGACAATCTACGACGCCGAAGGGGAAATTAATTATAACTCAGTTTGGATTCGTAAGCGGTCAACACAAAGGCAGGGGCACCGCCGGCGTGCTGGAGGCGGGAGTGGCCCACCTCACCCTGGCCAGGCGGGAGGAAACTCAGGTGTCCCCTTCCTCCTCCTCTCAGCCAGAGACGGTGCCAAGGGCTCGAATAAATCGTTGGACGCCAAGTGGGATAGAGACATACCCTCACACGGCTGCGCTTTTCTTAGAATCCGGGAGATGGGACCGCGTTCTGCGCAGCGAGGGGCGCCTCCGGCCACCGAAAGTAGCCACCCACCATAGCAGAGAAAACAAAAACGTGGGTGGAGCCCATTTGGAATGTACCCCGCTTCCTGCCCCCCAAGAACCGCGAAGTCGGCTCCTTCTTGACCATTTCCATAGGTTTGTTAAGCTACCATCAGCCTCCGCCTGGGTGGCCGCCACCGAGGGAGTTGATACCCCAACCCACCCAGGTTATTTCTATTTTCAAATCAGTGGGATTTTTCAACTCACTTCCCACCACCTTTCTATACCTCTCCAGATCGCTTCGGGTTGGGGGAGGGAAAAAAGGCTAATTTAATGTTCTTGTTTAGATTTGCATCTCAAAACTTCATTTATTTTCAAGGTGTCTGCCACTCAGGGCCCCTGCCAAGAAGTTCCTGTAAAATGGCAAGAGACCAAAGGGAAAGGAGGAGAGAGAAGGAGAGAGAGAGAGAGAGAGAGAGAGAGAGAGAGAGAGAGAGAGAGAGAGAGAGAGAGAGAAAGGATGGTTTTGAATTTATTTATATTGGAAATGTATAAACATCCATTCTGTAAAAGGCAACACGTTTAATTAACGATGAGAGAGCAGTTAGGGGCAGAAAGCTAGTGAAATCGTGTGATAAATTTATGGTATTGTTAGCGTGCTTTTAATTATGGCTATTATGTTAATTATTTCACATTAGCATGGAGTTATCAGCAGCATGTCAGATTTAATCAAAACGAGCCTTTCTCTAGGAAATTGTTCTTTTCATCGGCGAGGAGAAAGGTCTCGGGCAAGATTGGGGCTTAAAAAATGACTTGGCATTGAAAGCTCGCCTCTTTCCGACACGGTTTGGCGCGAGGCGGCCCGGCCCGGCTGTCCGCCGGGTCCCTCCAGGCTACGTACAGGGCTGCTCGCGGAGGAGCCGAGGAGGTTGGGTTTTTAGGAATTCACCATTTTCACCCCCTTCCGAGCCGACACTTCATCATATGGGATCACTCTGTCAAACAATATGATGCCGCTCATTTTTATCTGTCCCGCATCACAAAACCCCCTTTCAACCGGAGGAGGAGCAACAAAAGCCTCCAAGTGGCTGGCGGGCCGCTGTCCTCCATGGCCTCTCCCGCGCGCCAGGGAGGCAAGAAGGGACGAGGGAAGCGGTCGGTGGGCGCCCCCCAACCCCCTGCCCCAACCACCGCCCGAGGGTACGCGGGGTCCCGGTCCCCGGGTGTGG